GATACATTGGAGGAGGTTCCAATATTTGATTTGACTGGGCCATGTTGAAGTTCAGAGAAAACTACAAAATTGCCCTTAAGGGGTATTTTGGTCATTTTGACCCCTGGTCAACTAGGGGTCAAAATGGGTCTACCAAAATATAGTTTACTAAACATATCATGATAAAGGGTCTGGATGAGATTAGAGGCTTTGGAGAAGGCTCTAAGGTCAAAATCCATAGGGTAGGTGGTCTAGTGGCATAGGTCATAAATATTTGAAGGTTTTACAATCTTTGGAAATGGATTCAGTTTCTAGGGATAGGGTCTTAGAATGAGGTCAAATTTGGAGGATAGACCCTAGGGACATGCCTGATCAATATGAAATTGATAGATCATGACTTAGAGGTCATTTGACTGGGGTTTAAAATATTTGAAAATTCACTAGAAAAGGCTTTCAGGACATAGCCTTTAGCCTTGGATTTTGATTTGGATTTTTGAGTTTGGCTTGAGTTTTGAATCTGATTGCTTAAGTTTGAAATATCCATATCAATAACAATCAACTGGATGATTACTAGTGATTGGATCTGATTGAAACTTGATCAGAGGCTGGATTAAAGGTTAATTGAAGTTTGGGTTTGAGAACTAGATGAGTTTGAAATCTAGATTGGTTTGAAGTCTGGATTGACTTGAGATCTGGGTTGATTTGAGATTTGGATGGGTTTGAGGTCTGGACTGATCTGGGGTCTACATTGATCTGGGGTCCTTATTGATCTTAGTGACCTCATAAAAAAATGAGGTCAGCAACATAGTAAAGCATTTTCTTTTTTCCTTTTTTTAAGCATAAAAAGGGTTTTCTTATCATGTTCTCCGTAATGCCATCCTAGTCTTACTAGAAATTAGTGTGTTTGATTTCTCTTCTAAATTACCCGACTCTTTTTTTAACAAGAAATTTTTTCCTTAAACACATTAAGATTTGCATGCACATCTTATGAAAGATTGTATAGCTATTTATAATCTAGGGCTTCGTTTGGGACAGTTTTAGACAACTCTTTCTCTCCATCTTTTAAAATATTTTTTTACTAAAGAGCAACTTTAAAAAGCAGTAAAAAAACCATCTAAAATTAAGCCTAAATCATCTTGATCATTAAGGTTGGATCCCTCACTCCGAGCACACTACTAGAAGGTCTTGAATTTTAATTAATTTAAAAAGTTCTCTGATTTTTCTTCTTTTTTTTTTGGTTAAAACCCCCAGCGGGGCCTATGTGTTAATTAAAAAAAAGGATTACAAGGTCCTTAAGAGGAATCTCCATCTCACTACTGCTCCACAAAGCTACAAAATAAAGCAAAATAAAATCTAAAAGCCGGTGGTTCCTTAGCCTAATAGTTACAAAATTACCTAAAAACATACTAGGGCTGCAAGAAGACAGCACCCAAAAAAGTAAGAGCAGAGCAAAAACTTTCAGCACGAGCTTCCTGCCAAAAATGATCACCTCACCGTAGAAGTCCCAGCTAGCAGCAAAATCCCATGGTCCAGGCTGAGCAAAAATCCAATTAACTAACCTACAAAAACACAAAAACTTACAAGCCATAAAAGTTAGATAGTTGTTATGAGCAAACCAAATATTACCATTAAACCAAACCCCACCAGAATAATCCCAATATCACAACTTACACTTCATAATATACTCTGCAATAGTTAACTGGAACAGAAATCTCACACAGATATTTAACCTGTAATAACTAGCACAACGAAACAGAGCATAAGAGCAAAAGTTCTAGGAAACCCGCAAGACCAGCATTCCAAAAGAGACTGCAACCCTTGGCCACAACAACCTCCCAATAGTCAATAATAAGAAATAAAAGAATCTCCAACTAAGACAGAAGATAGCCTTGACCCCCAATTGCCAGCATAGACAGGCCAAAAAACAAAAAACTACTACTCGTGAAGAACCACCACATAGGAAACGTAAACCAGCCCGTAAAAAAAGAAGACAGCCTCAACCCAAGGACCAACTCAGACTAATACACAGGCACCAGAACAAAGAAAACACAACCATTTCAAATGTAAGGTAAACCAGCTTTATCCAGTAAAATCATACCCTTCAAGATCGGGTGTAAATTCTGCATATTTTTCTTTTTAATCATTTCTTTGATCTCCCTTTATATATCTTCTTGTTGCCATTTTTGTTATTGAAATAGTCCCATTTTATATGACCTAATTTTTACAATCAAAATAAATAATTTAAAGTTTTATCTTATAAAATATGTACCTTTTTATTTTTCTTTCTTCATGTCATTGGATTTTTTTCTTGAGAGAATTAATGTTTTTAGTGGTTAACAACCATGTTTAGTGATTCTCTCTCATTGTTATATGTGCACTACGATTAGTTCTTGATTTTTGGATTAAGCTCTTTTACTTGATTTAGGTTTTATTTGGGATAACTTTCATACTGCTTTTTAAAACGATTTTATAATATTAAAATTTCTTTTTTCAAAAAATTTTGTACTAGAATGCTGCCTTAAAAAATAGTAAGAAAGCTATCTCTCAAACTAAACCTTATTTTATTTGTGAATAGTGATCTTATCACCATCTAAAATTCATTAAAAACATGATTCACAAATTAATAAAAAGGAATGACTTTTGGCCTCTTCTTGCTGTTGTGTTCTACTGCTTTATTGGTTGGCCTACCAATGTTATAGTCATCCTCTTGGCATGCAGACCATCTTCTATCTTTCCTTTCTTTTTTATTTAATTTCTCTGTCATGTCTCATTTAGATTGACCGAATCCTTCATGTGGTGAATATGATTTCTCATAGTTATGAAAGTTTTTAAATTTCTCTCCAGTCTCAGTCAGACAGTCCGCTTTAGAAAATTATTGCTAACTTTTCTTCTTGGAGGCAAGTAGAAACGAGGTGCTGTAAACCTCATCCGAGATCAAAAGAAGTAAACGGATTCTTTGTTTATTCAACGATCCATTGTAGAAAATGCATTAGTTATGTGCGATAACGACCTGTACTGAGTCGGCCATATTGGTTTTAAGATTCGAGAGATCCATCTCTAAAAGTCCAGTCAAAGTTCCCATCAATGTGACCGTTTAATCTCTGATGCACTCATCCTAGTTATGCCCCACTCAAAGGAGAGATTACTCTGTGAGGACGTCAAACACAGTTCACTGTTTGGAGACCAATCAAAATGCGTCACGTTAGCGGTACTGAGCCGCGGTGCTGAGCAGTACGGATCCGGGTACAGAGGATTGGGCAACATGGAGCATTCTGATTGGCCTACGGATAATGTTCGGCATCCGTACAAAATAATTTCACCACTCAAAGGGGAACTTGACTTGGCTAGATTCAACAAGAGTAAGAACTTGCCCTAAAAAAGCTCACCCAAAAAAGACTCGACCAAAGAAAAAAAATGCCTCGGATAAATTTGAGTGAGATAGACTCACATCAACAGGCTTCCACCCAAGATAATCGTCTGAGACAAAATTGCCTCTTCAACGCTAACATCTCAGAAGTGCTCACCTCCACCACTAACCTCATCACCAGAAGAAGGAGATATTATTGTGTACGTGCAGAATCTGAATGCATTCGGAGACGAATCCGGATGTGTCACATCACTAGATGCACTGGGCCCCGAAGTGCATCCGGTGACGTGGAATGCGCTGATTGGAATCCGAATGCACGGATTCCACACACAATAATTTCTCTCGAGAAGAAGACGCTCACCTACCCAAACTTAGTTGTAGTGACTATAGCTACTTAGTCAAGACGTTGATCTAGGAGGCACTAGCTGAATGTACTAACCAGAGGCATTCATTGCAATTTAAGCCAAGTCCTAGTTAGTCCACTTATCTATAAGCCAAATATTATATTTTTTTATTACTATTATAGAAATATCCTCTTATTTAACCTTCCTAATTCTATAAATAAATTATTGGGAGGTATTTTTGGGCACTCTCTTTTTTGCGCCACTAGAGTTTATGTAATTGAGCACAAATTATTTTCTTCTTGTTCATCATCATCAGCTTAACTAGTCTTGCTACTAATATGAAGGTATTGCACATGCATAAATTTAATGCAATGAATAAATTTAAATTCAACAATGTTTTTTTTTTATAAAAATTGCAAAACATCCCTCTAAACAAGTGCATAATAATTTATATTTTCAAATATAATGAATAAAAATATTATTGCTTGAGAGTTTTTTCCTTTCCCTTAGAGTTCATTCACTTATACTTATTTTATCAAAATTAATACTATACTCACCATTCAAACAAAAGTTATTATTTAAGGAAAAAATTTTTTTTGATTGTTTTATAATTCCTAATAAAATATTATGTTATTCACACTTCTGATTTATACATTTTTTTTATCAAAAGAAGCTTATTTATGTAATAATTTTTTCCCCTAAGCCTGCATGAATGACTTTTCCATGATCACAGTGAGTGCAATCCACGTGATTAAAAAGAAAAAGAAAGCATTTCACATGGCCTCTCATACACAAAAGATATTTTTTTTTACATTCATAAATGTATGACCTTCCCACATGATCAAGCATAAAGACTGCTCTGATGTTGATGACTCAAGACCTCCAATGAAAATCATTAGAAGATTTTTTTTTTAGAACTGGGTATTCTATCTGGTACTACTAATCTCTCGGCAGAATCTAACGAGGTCATCCACAGACATATCGAGTCCACATTTGCTTTGCCCCACTGAAGAGATGAGATCATAGTAGGGGAGATTCGAACCCGGGATGGAGGTTCCCAACCGTTCTCACCCACCAACCACTCTAAACCTCAATGGATAAAGTTCTTATTAGGCTTTTACTTTTCCAAATTAAGCTGTATGAACCAATCAAATAGTTTATCAATCAATATTCGGCTGGCGTAAAAAATTCCAAAGATTTGGTAGAAAAATGAAAAGTGACAAAAGATAATGGCGTGGTTGTTATGAACAGTGATTTCAGCAAACTCTTTTTGCAGCTTTCTGGACACGACTGTTGAATGTGCTATCTGATTAAATCTGAAAAGTTTTTCTTTTTTGATGAACATAGCTCAATTTTATTGTATGTGCAAAACTAAATTTAATTTATATTGTTCAATGTTAATATCATACGACTATGTAAGCATAAAGTCACGGGGATCAAATTATGTATAGGCCGAATAAGCAGGAAAATTTTACAGCGATGATAATGAAAACCAAGTTAGCTTCACATCTCATTGTTTTCTTCCCAGGAAGATCTCAGCAGCTTGAGAAGGGCTCTGGCTTTTGCCTTTGCCGTCCCGCCGCACTGGCTCTGAAGCAATAGCAAGAGCTGAGTCACAGCTCCGGCCGCCAATGCCTCCTTCCTCGCCCGCGATGAAGCTCGGCAGATAGCCATCAAGGCTCCCACGGCTCGCTCGCTCCCCTCCTCCTTGGAGGACACCCGAAACACCCATTTCACCATTACTCTCACTGCCCCAACGTGAACCCCGGCCTTCCTCCCGTTTTCCTCTCCCATCAAAACCTCCATGGCCGCCAATGCGTTGGAGGCATTCCGTCGAACACCTGTCGATAAATACTCGGCGAGTCCCTCCACAGCTCCTTCTTTAATGGCATCAGATCGGCTGCTTTCGACAGATGTGCAGATGCCGGCCATGGCGGCGGCCGCTGCGTCCGACGCCTGCTCGTTGGTTTTGCTCTGTAAAAGCAACGAGACGAGAACCTGAAGAACAGTCTGGGATTGGCCGAGAAGGCTGCATAATTCCTTCGTTGTTGTCGAAGTGGAAATTGCTTCGATTAGAATGCACAAAAAAGTTTTCATCTTTGAACTTCCATGCTCGAGCAGAACCACAAGTGAAGAAAAGGCGGCGTCTTGTTTCAGAACGTTGAGATAGTTCAAATTATTTGATGGAGAAAGGCGTAGAATGCAGTCCAGAGCGAGCTCAACAAGCTCCAAATTGGCTATTTCTAATGGGCATTGGAAAACTAAATGTACGAGAACTGGGAAGAAATCTAACTGGATCAAAAAAGACTTGCCAACATCTGATTCAGTTGATAAAACTCTGACCTTTCTGAGCCCCTCAAGCTTCGCGGCGAGCGGCGTTTCAGAAGACAGAAGACCGGTTTTCAAAATGGTCAAGGAGATCGGGATGCCTGAACCTTGCTGTGAGTTGCGGTGGTCGGCGACGCCGCGGAGGAGCCACCGGTCGATGTATTGGCGGAGAGTGTGGTTGGGGACGGCGGAGAAGTCTGGGAGCCTCTGCATTGTGACAGGGCAGGTAGAGTTGCCTCCGGCGAGCCATTTCTCGATGCTTGGCCGGTCATACGTTTGGCCTGTACTTAAAGTCACTGGATCCGTGAAGAGATCAAGACTAATCGGGCATCTGAAGAGGAAAGGGATGCTCATTTTGTTCTCTTCATCCATGTTTGATGGTTGCTCATCAGATACAGAGTGCAATGGGAGATGGTTTAATTTCAGTGACTGTACTAAAAACGAGGGAATTGGTGGAGGAGGTTAAAGCTATGAAAATGGCGAGGAGATGATGAAACAGCAGAAGAGCTATTGAGCTTCAAGAGGACTAAACAGAAAGGCGAGGTGAGGAAATGAGAAAACGCAGGAGAGGCCTTTGAAAAGGAGTAGGATTGATAAAGAGTCGAGAAGAAGGAGATTTACTGTTGCAGAGAAAGTAATGGTGGGTAGTCGATCGTTTTTATTTTCTGTTTGGATTGAAGGACTTGTGGAAGAGTGAAGGGACTAAAATCAGAAAACGAAAACTACGAATTTTTCCTGCGGCAAAGGAGTGGAGGACTTCATGCGTCTACTTCAATGCTTTGTGGGAAGAGAATCGATAAGGGTTAGGGATAGGCGAGCAGAGAAGACGATAGGGTTTGTCTTAATCTGTAAATGAATATCTCTCTGAGCATCTTGAGATGAATAATTACACATACTGGAACTAGTCTTTATTGGAAGGTTTGACTGCTTACCAAAGAGTGGAATTTTGATTGGGAGAGAAAGAAGAATCAATAAAGATTTTATCAAAATTACGTGATAATTATCTCATAAATTTTGATGGAGCAGTTGCCTGTTTTAATATTTTAAAGTTTTTATGCAGAGATAAAAAAATAATAATAAAAAAAAATAAAATAAAAAAATAAAACAAAAAATAAAATAAAATAAAAAGTTTTTATGCAGAGATGTATAAAAAGCTGGAATTTCTTCCCAGAAGAATCGTGTAAAGAAGAGAAATTTTAAAAAATGGTCAAAATTTGCATTAGGGTAGGTGACAGCTAATTTAATTTACAAAATTTTAAAAATTATTATTAGAATCATGTAATTAATTTCTCATATAATATTTTTTGCTTATATTTAGTATTTACTAGACAGAATCAACTTAGATGATTTGGTCACTTAAGACTTCAACATCTCAATGAAATGTTAGGAAAATATAGGTATTAGATCTTGTTTATGTTAAGAAAATTAGAGTTAGGCCTAAAAGATTTGGTTAGAAGTTATTAAAAAAAATAAAAACTCAAAATAGTCATCGGCTATTAGCAAATGTTCAATTTAGTCTCAAACTTTCATAATGATCAAATTTAGTCTTCCGACTATTCGAAAATATCTCAATTTGATCTCAAGATTAAAAGTAGTAGTTAAAAATAATATTTAGAGTATTATGATGTATGTAATATTATATTATTTTTTATAGTTTTTGTTTTTTCATATTAAAATTAATATAAAAATCATGATTAAAATACCAGGTAAATAACAATAGTGAATAATTAATAAACGTAGTTAACTTTTATTATGATTTTTATATTTATTTAATGTGATAAATGATAAAATATATCAAAATAATAATATAATCTCGTATATAACCTAATACCTAAAATACCCTCACATTTAATTGTTATAGTTAACTTTAACTGTTACTTTTATTTTTGAGATCAAATTGAGATATTGTCTAATAGTCGAATAATTAAATTGGAGCATTATGAAAGCTAAGATTAAATTGTTATTTACTAATAGTATAAGGACTATTTTATATTTTTACTTTTATTAAAAAAAAATATTTTTTGTTAGATTTAAACTAATCTTTAACTTTTAACAGAACACAATAATTAAAAAAAAAAGATTTATGTAATTGATCCCTCACATATATGTCATAAGTTTTTTATGGCAATTCATAAATTGTTGCTAGTTACATTTCTATCTTTGAAAGTTGCAATATCATACATTGTCTTCACATCTTGTATTAAAAAAAATTCTAGAAGGTTGTGGCGGTTTTAACTGCCACAATTGTCAAGATTTGTAGCATTTTAATCCGCTGCAATTCTTTTGGGAGTTTATTTTCTATGAGCTAATTGTTGTGGTTATCTCCGCTGCACTTATGTAATTTTGTAGCGTTTTACACTGCTGTTATAATTGGAACGTGTTATGTCTACCTAGTAGTCATAGAACCGCCATAGAATGTCTTTGCAGCACATTACAGTCACAGTGGTCATGCAGCGGTTTTGTAACGGCTTTAAGAAAATTTGTAGCGGTGAAAAACGCTGGTAAAGATCTAATTTTATAGTGCAATACCCTTTTTCTCATAATGATAGTAGGATAAATACTTATTCTTGCGAAATCAAGGCCTACGGCAGTATAATAAAGAAGGCTACAGTAGCAAATTAAAAAGGGGGGTGGGGAGAAAAGGGTGGCGATAGATTATGATAGGAAGTAGTGTCTCGAGCCATCAACTTAATATGAATATTGGATCGTGCGTTTGACAATGGCTTTGGCTTACACGTGATGTCTATGAAAGAATCTCTGGATCCTACATATTTTAGGCTACAGTGAACTAATGATGGTGGGTGTAAACTAATTTTGATTAAGTAATATTTTTATTATATTTGATGTAGAGATTCAAAACTTGATTAGAATTGACAAAGTGGTCGTTTTGCCTTTGGAGGAAAAAGTGAAGGCAAAATTATCTTGTTTAAGTAATACTTTTTTTGTGTTCAAATTGAATTTAATCATGAATATATTAGGCTCAACTTTGGACCATTTTGGTTTTGTGTTTAAGGATTCGTACTCCCAATAAGTATAATTTGATCCAACTTTGAGGTGTTCTAGTCTAGATAACGAGCATATATAAGTATGTAATCTATCAAGTAGGTAAGCCAACTCTTGAGCAATTATAAGTAGATGAGGATGGCGAGTTAGAGGGAATCATAATAATTATAAGGAGATTAGAATGTAATACCTGTTGCTATAGAACTTGGTAAGAATTTTGTATAAGTGTTAAATTTGTAATTACGGAGTTTAAAATTTAGTTGGAAAAACTTGAGTGAAGTAAGAAAAAGTTTCTTGGGAGCATTGCGTCGCTTACATCTTCGTTTGGGAGGAGGATTTTGTGGAGCGTTTTGGCATTAGAATGGAGTGCTATGCCACTAAGCTCTCTATTCGGGTGCATCTTAAATATTCTGACATAGTGCTACAGTATTGTATGCTAGAATGAAATGAATTATATATATATATATCCATTTTTCTCATCCCTCTCACCCCTCGGCATGTTGGAGAAGGAAGGAGAAGAGGAGGAGGAGAGAGAAAAGAGAAAAGAGAAAAGGAAAGTCAAAGATCTCGAATCCAGATTCGTCCATTTGGAATGTTAAAAAGAATTGTTCTTCTCGAGATAGGCTCCCAATATACTATTTATGGTTTCAATTCTGATATTTGTACAAAAAAGTTATGAAATAAAGTATGATTTATATAAGTTGTAGAAACTTTCACAATGTAATTTCTGGTATATTGTAAAATGCTCCATTATGGTCAAATCGATAGTAAGAAATCAAATTTTCACTAATCAGTTTTCTCTATACAATTATTGAATATTTATGTTCAAAATGAAATATCTCTTATTTCTTACCGTTCATTAAAAGTCTTAATAAATGTTTTACATACCCTATGTGAATAAATCTCTAAATGATAAATATTAAGTTTATGTGCAAATTAGATATGTGTCAGCTCTAAATGTCATACATACATATATATATATATATATATATATATATATATATATTCATACTCATGTTCAATGTAATGTACACATGTTAAATCTATTAATCTCTACATGTGTGCATTCATGTTTATATAGCAAAAGTTTTGAAGTAGATGTTAAAATGCACCACAAATTCTATTACACGGATCTGACCTTTGGTTTTGTTTTGCTTATATATCTAGTCCCATCTATCATGTAAATATATGTGAGGTTATTTTTCACCACATTTGATTTATATAAGTGTGGGAGTTTCAAGAGAGTTATAAGTGGAAGTAGAGTTATAAGAGGAATCAGGTTAGGTCTCCGCCATCAATGATAAGCATTTAGGTTGACCTTGGTAGAAATTAATGAAAATGAGTTATAAGCAAACATCAGGACATATGCATATCATAATTTATATGGTGCAAAATTTGTTAAATGAAATAAGTTTAATTATAAATCATATTCTATTAATAAGTATACTCTGATGCTTCTGTGAAAATATAAATTATGTTCAAATAACAAGTGCACTTTCACATCCAAGTGAGACTACAAGTGATAGTATCTGTTAACGTTTATAATGTTCATATTCAAGTAACAAGTTATGAAAGTTATTTTTTATGTGCATTCAAGTTATGAGAGATTTAGATTTAAATTTAACTCTTTTATTTGGTAACACTTTGTGACCAAGAATATTATTATCATGCAATTATAATACCAATCTGGCACCATTTGTTGACAACATTAACACCAAAGTTAGCATAATCACCATGAAACTTATATCTTTGATGTGATAATTATTATAATTTATAGTTGTCTAGTAGGAAATCATAACTCACCTATTATGTTATTGTGGATATCAAAGGAGATGGGTTAGGGGGATAATTTGATATTTTGATTGCAAGAGATCCTTTGAGTTTCAACCTAAAGATATGAGAGTTTTTATTTTAGAGACGCTGATAGATTTATTAAGAGAGAGAGAGAGAGAGAGAGAGAGAGAGAGAGAGGATTTGGGATAGCATATTTTTTCTTCTTTTATGACATTTGCAAGAGGATGTACCTTGGTGTATGCTTTTTGTGATGATATTCATCTTGTTGATAAGACTAGAGAGGGAGTTGAAGGTAAACATGAATTATGGAGGTCAACCTTATAATCTAAAGATTTTCACTTGAGTAGATCTAAAACATAATATATGGAGTGTAATTTTAGTAGTAATAGACCTAGTGAGGGGATTATAACTTTGGGCGATCAAGTCATTAATAAGAGTACATGTTTTAGATATCTTGGATCTATTATTCAAAGTGATGGTGAAATAGATAGGGATATTATTAGCAGAATTCAAGTTGGATGGTTGAAGTGGAGGAATGCATCAGGCTTGTTGTGTGATAGAAAAGTATCGCTAAAACTTAAGGGAAAATTCTATAAGATGGTCGTAAGGCCTGCAATGTTTTATGGTGTCGAATGTTGGGCATTAAAAGAGAAGCATAATACTAAGTTAAGTGTGGCAGAGATGAGGATGCTCAGATGGATGAGTGGCTTTACCCTTAGAGATAGGATACGAAATGAGCATATACGTGAAAAGGTTGGAGTAGCTCTAGTAGAAGATAAGATTAGAGAGAGCCACTTTAGATGGTTTGGTCACATAAAATGGCGACCTTCTGATGACCTGGTTAAGAAAGTAGAGGTTTTAGATTTGACTTATGTTAAGAAAGGTAGAGGCATACCTAAAAAAACTTGGTTAGAAAATATTAGAAATGGTCTTTCTTTATTAGATTTAAACAAGAATTTAACTTTTAATAGGACACAATGGAGAAAGGATTCGTGTAGCCAATCCCACGTAGTAGGATAAAGGCTTGATGTTGTTGTTGTTGTTGTTGTATGATTTTCTAATCTTCTATTAATGTCATTTGCTACTTGTTCTATTATAGAGTTAAGATTAAAAATATTGACTTCCACTTAAGGTGTCTCTAAGTGT